TGAGAGTGTGGCGGCCCAGGGAACAGGAACCTGAGAGTGTGGCGGCCCAGGGAACAGGAACCTGAGAGTGTGGCCGCCCAGGGAACAGGAACCTGCGCACGCACCTTTTTGTTTGGACTGAAACCCATCGTGATACAGAGAAATCGCCGGATCAAAAGAGATGTGGAAGGATGGAATAATTATGACAAGTTAGGGCTGCTATGGAAACATCATCATCGTCATCATCATCATCATCACCACCATCACTGTCCTCAAACAAGATGGGGGAAATCTCTCTCGCTCGGTCGCTCGCTCGCACACACGCACGGAGCCATTCTTCCTCCCTCCAAACAGCACTAGCACAAATTGCAACTGACATGTTTGTCTCCATAATTCGTTAATGAAAGTCAATTAAATTATTTATCGTTCTTCACTTAACGAACGGACTATTGACTCTGAGCACACTCTGCGGCTGACACAGGTCATTCTGTCTGGTCCCTGTACAACGCGCAGCTGCGTGCGTGGGCAGGCAAGCGAGGGGGCCGTGTTTACCTTTCCACATGCTCGTCACCCTGATCGGCGGCTGGGGGGGGGAGGGGCTCGGAGTTGATCCACATCACCATGGACGAGTAGGGCCTGGGAACGGGGAGCACACCAGCACGCTCTCAGTTTGTCCCCCCGGTGCCAACATGACGATGTGGACAGACACTCAAGCGAAGACGCCATCCGTGGTAGGCGGGACATAGAGGCCAGGCATCAAAGTGCACTGCATGGCACGTCACCCTCCGAAGGCAGTGGGTGTTTCTCAGTACCAAGAACACAAAGATCCTACACTGCAAGATTACTCTTGGCAAGACCGGTCTTGCTAACTTGCTTCCCAAGAATGAACTTGGGGCGCAATGAATCATGGGATTGGGCTCATTTGGTGAGGATGCAATCAGTGCATCCTTAATATTTAGGGCGGGGCAAGAATGACATCCAGGGTCAGGCATGAGGCTGAAGTGCTTTTGCTGTAAAGCGGAGCCTGCCAGCGCCCCCTGGTGACAGGGGCACCACCTTGCAGATGAGCTCCCTCCCTCCCACCATAATCACGGATTCCAGGCCTTCCTACAGACGGCGCTGACGGTACTTACGGGCTGGGAGGGAGTGCCTAAGTCCAGCGGCAAGGCCATTAGCGGCTCCCCCAGGTATCGCGTGCTCATGTCCTGCAAACAAGCCAATCGCATGCCAGCACCACACCATGTTCACATGTCCCTCTGTACTAGGGCTGGATTGAGCGAAAATTTATGAAAACCGACAGAACTTCAAATCGAGTAACCTTGCCCATGTCAGTTACTTCCGTTTTTTTTTTTTAATTCTGTTAATACTTTAAAAAAATCCATTACGTGGAAGCAGCATGGAGGAGAACTCAAACACCGAGCCGACTGAGCGATTCCAGCAGCTTGTACACGATGGACACGATGCCGTGTACATCGTTTGGACACATTGTGGCTTTAGTGAAGACGACACTGGTTTCAGCTACCAAAGGTAATACCAATCAGTTTCAACACTACGGTGGTTATAGTGATCATGGTTATAGTGATCAGCCACTTATATGGATCAAAAAGTCTGGGACAGAATCATTCCTGTACAAATACTGTTTAAATAATTTGGTTATAGTAATCAAGTAATCCACTTACAGTGTTCATTTTGGGTCTTTTTATACATAACATAATGGAAAAAATAAAAATTCTTTACGTGCCTACTTTGCCTTGTGGTAACCTGTGTGCCTCTGGCTTGGCATATCTGAACTATATATAGATCAGTAATTTATTTTGTATTATAATTTCATTTGTAAAGCGTTTGAAACTGTATTTTGAAAACCAAAATTAAATAGCGATGCTGACTTATTAACATATTCATGTAAGGAATATACATGTTGATTAGATGGTGATCTGCCTGAAACATGAAGAAAAAAAAAAAAAGTTATAATGGTCGTCCGCTTATAGTGATCAATTTCACCCAGACAGACATGGTTACTATAAATGGTTTGTTTGCACGAAATGCAAACTATTTGTTTTCTACTCTTTTATGGGGCTTTTTACATTAAAACTAAAACGTGACCTTTCATAAAACGTTTTCATTTCAAGTGATTTGTGCTTTGATTTCCGCTGTTCGAAATGTTCAACAAATAACCATAAATGGTTCGTCTGTGTTTCCTTCAGTTACTCTAAAATCATAAATATGACGTACAGTCTGTCATCAGAAATATATCCCAGCTGTTCACTCAACAGTTATTTACAGTACAAACTTTGTCAATGAAATACGAGAGCAAAAAAACAACCAAAAAAAAAAATAATTAATCGTAATCGCGGTTAAAATGTTCAATTAGTTGCAATATTGATTTGAGGCCCTATGCCCCAGGCAGCCTCCAAACACCCCCAGGTCACCGCCCCCCCGGCCCCTTACCAGTGGTATGTGAGCTACTGCAGACCCACAGAACTTTTTCAGGATGTACCAACATGGCTGTGGGGGTTTTGCTACCGTGCCAGTGACTGGCTGAAGAGCCGGACGTCCCGCGTGGGGGTCCTGAGCGCCCCCAGGCTAATAAAGCCCCCCTCCCCACTGCAGCTCCTTCAGGCCCCCCCCAACCAAAGGCCACTTAAATGCTTCAGTATCCCGGTGCTGGAATTACAGCCATAGCCGTTTAAAAACGTGAAATTTAATCACGCAACATCACTGCTTCTGTTTTGATATAAAAATTAATATTGGACATTTCTGTAAACATGAGTGCTGGGGGCAGCAGGATTTATTTACCTTTTAGAAGCTCTGCCCCTTCACAATAGTACACTTACGCATTATGTGTGATTTCGGTGTTAAACATAAACACGGCGTGCTGCGTGAGGGCGAGGGCTCAGTGTCTCGCATGAAGAGGAAGAATTCCCCCAGAACGGCCCTGTGAAGGCGGCCCTTCCACATGGAGGAAGACCGCGAGCGGCGTCCTGGCTCCGGATGATGTTTTCCACGCCGCAGTGGGGTGGGCTTACTGCCAGGACCCTGGGTGGCCCGGAAATGAGCTCAGATCCTGAACCAGGTCCACGTTTCTAGTGGGGTGGGGGGCAGGGGCGCGCTTGGAGCAGGTAGCGCTCTGAATGCTGGAACCGAAGTGCGCGGCAAACGTCAGACGGGAGCTTCGGACGGAGCCACCCCCCCAGTTCCTCTTCCCTTCATGAAAAGTAGCGGACGAGGGTGTGAAATATATTTAGGGTCGTCAGGAAGGAAACGCACGGAAGCAAGATGACGCGGCCCTCTCTGAACGCACTGGGCAGGGCCCAGCCATGGAAAAGGGCTGACCTGCAGGCTCAGGCGCACCTGCACCCGCGCAGACAGATACCTGCACCCGCGCAGACAGATACCTGCACCCGCGCAGACAGATACCTGCACCCGCGCAGACAGATACCTGCACCTGTGCAGACAAGGACACGTACTGCGATCCCTCTGGGAAACAGTCGCTCCCCGTGCTTAATGCATCCCCTTACCCCCCTACAGAAAGGGGCGTGGCTAGAAATTCTTGGACCCCTGAGAAAATGTCACCATGGGGCCCCTGCCCAAAGTTATGCATTGAAGGGCCCCTGTGAAAAGCTGCCCCAAGAATCTGTCAGAGTATCCATGCCGCAACTGCACCCCTGCGTAACCTGCCAGGCCTCCCAGCCTCCTACAAAACCACACCTTAAACACACATCACCTCCAACTGAGACCGCCGCTAAAAACATCACCTAGAGCAGAATTACAATCCTCTCATTTGTCGTGCAGGACTCCGTACAAGGAGGAGAAATTAACTGCTAAAGTCTCTTGGACAAGTCACTGTCCAGCTGCTGTGAACCCGCTAACGCTGTAAAGCGAGTACTCTGTACAGCTGTGAACCCGCTAACACTGTAAAGCGAGTACTCTGTATAGCTGTGAACCCGCTAACGCTGTAAAGCGAGTACTCTGTACAGCTGTGAACCCGCTAACGCTGTGAAGCAAGTACTCTGTACAGCTGTGAACCCGCTAACGCTGTAAAGCGAGTACTCTGTACAGCTGTGAACCCGCTAACGCTGTAAAGCAAGTACTCTGTACAGCTGTGAACCCGCTAACGCTGTAAAGCGAGTACTCTGTACAGCTGTGAACCCGCTAATACAGCTGTGAACCCGCTAACACTGAAAAGCAAGTACTCTGTACAGCTGTGAACCCGCTAACACTGTAAATTGAGTACCCCATACAGCTGTGAAGCTCCTCAGCAACGTCCTACTGCACCGCAACATGGCTAACAGGAGTTTCTGGGAAAAAGTCAGACTTTGACATTTAGAAGCCCATGTAACTCCGCAGCGCTGAGACGCTACTCCGAGAACCCCCCCCCCCCCCATTAGCAGAAGCTGGAGATGGGTGACAGCACGGGAAAGCAGCGGGCTGACGCTCTGTGCTTTTCAGCTATGCTCTCCACACCGGGAGAGACAGCCATTAACGCAGCGGTCGCTCAAACCACACGCCCCCTGTTGGCCACAAACATTCACTACACTAAATATTGAATAAATTGCCTCCTTGCACATGAGGTGCTGAATTAGCATGTTCTGTCAACCAGCTAGCTAACGATGACATTCTCAAGTTACTTGCTAGCTATTTATTTAGTTCTTGAAACATGTGAGGGGGGCCGGGGGGGGGATGGTTTGGGGCAGAAACCACAAAGCCGCCCCTGACATTGTACACTGAGACCAGGGCTCAGGCTGCATGGTCCATTGGGATCAGAAACAGCCACAGCAGATATATACTGTACACACCCTACAGGGTGAGCCTGACCTCAGATGATGGACATGTTAGCCGACAGCCAAACCAAAAGTAAAGAGGGCTGCCAAAGCAGGGGGATTTGGGGACAGTGAGGCGGGTCACAGGCAACGGGTGAACTGGACTTCAAACAAGGGTGTTAGAATAGATGACCACCAGGGGGCGGTATTCAGGACCAGGCAGACAGGCACCGCAGTGACACAGATGGCAGACGCAAGCCTACCTGGGAGGCCCCTCCACGTGGCCTGCAGGCTGCCCACTCTCTTCTGCCGGAGGAGGAGAGCTGGACTCCCTGGTAGCTGAAGACATTTCATCTGGAGTTGAGTTTGTGCTCGCAGCTATCAAGGGATGCAGGGGGAAAAAAAACTAAGATTAACATCCAGCCCAAGTCGGAATGCTGCGTCTGAAACGACTGCGGATATAATTCGCAAGTAGCCCCTGAAATATCGGCCTCCCAAACGAAAGCGGTGTGCAGCCATGGCTGCTGCACAGTAGACTATCCCATGTCCAGACACCTAATCAAAGGAAGAACAATACGGCAGAAGAGTCTCACGGCCGCCTGCTTTGCTCAGGCGTCAACAGTGGATGTGTAGAAGGTTCAGCTGCAAAATGACAGCTGGGTGTGGGGGAGCTGGTACCGGGAATACGGCCGGTACTTGGGGAGGATACAGGATAGGCTCAAACTTTCCATGAAAATTAGTCACTAAAAGGGAAGTAAAACACACACTCGTGGTGGAATGAGTGTGCTCTACCTGAGCTGTACACACTTCCATCTCCTTTGCTTCATACTGGCCAAAGCCAGCAGCTCTCCAGTCACAGCAGTTGTGTTTTTAAGCTGACATGATCTTTGCAGAATTGGTGAGGGACACTTACAGCCTGTGTGACCTCAGCATCTTTATGGGACACCAGGGTAGCTAATGGGTTACCAGGCTGGGATTTAATTCATGGTCTTGGGTCAAGAGCGCAAAAAAGCCCAGATTTTAACGAGCTGTGACATTTGCTAGCAATGATGTGACAGGAGAAGGTCTCACCCCACCCCGTACTCTGGAAATGACATTCCTGACAACTTCTGGGACATGGCAATCGTCCTGATCTCCTTCCATATTTCCTAGGCTAAAACCCCAGTACTCCCAAAGATCCAAGGTGCTCGTGTGTGATGTTCGGCGTTTCTCTGAAGCTGGAAAGGGAGACAGTCCTTACCTGCCTCGACATCAGCTTCCTGTGGGTCGGATGGTGCCCCCGGCCCGCCGTGGTCGTCCCGTCTGCTGGACTGCTGGGTGGAAGCTCCAAAAGACTGTACCTCAGGGGGGCAGCCAAAGATCTGCGGTCACAGCATCAAAGGGGGGGGGGGCGTTCAGCCAGCAGCAGCCATTTACCTTGGGGCAGATTTACCTTGGAGGATATTCAGGGCCACTGCTGTGCCAAGCGATTTTCCGCTGGGACAGAGCCAGAGAGCAGAAATTAATGCTCTCTGAAAACACGGCAAACGTCTAGGCATTGACATTCAGCAAATACATTAATCACACAACCTGGGGAAACAGGTTACAGTGTGTCCAGATGAGGAATGTTTAGATACCTCCAGCAAGCATATAGGCAAACGTTTAAAGTGGGGCTCACCGCATGGGGGAGGTACGTTAAGCAATTTATTAAGCAGCTGTTAACGGCAAGAGATACCAGTATGAAAATGAAAACGTAACCTGAACGGTGCTGGAATCCTTGCCTTTCTACATCTGTTTTTGATTTTTCAAAGCGTTTTTTTTCTTCTCATTTAAAAGCCATCAACATTCTTACCTGTTAAGGAAAGGAACTTCACCGAATTCTCAAAAACCGCTCAGCTATTTAACACAACCGCTGCCTGTTGACGAGCAAATAACAGCGTGCTTTTAGCATAGAGGAGAGACTGTGACGGGCAAACGACAGCGTGCTTTTAGCACAGAGGAGAGACTGTGACGGGCAAACGACAGCGTGCTTTTGGCACAGAGGAGAGACTGTGACAGGCAAACGACAGCGTGCTTTTAGCACAGAGGAGAGACTGTGATGGGCCAACGACAGCGTGCTTTTGGCACAGAGGAGAGACTGTGACGGGCAAACGACAGCATGCTTTTAGCACAGAGGAGAGACTGTGATGGGCGAACGACAGCGTGCTTTTGGCACAGAGGAGAGACCAACAGGGGAACAAGAGTGTGCTTTTAGCGTAGAGGAGAGACTGTGACAGGCAAACGACAGCGTGCTTTTAGCACAGAGGAGAGACTGTGATGGGCCAACGACAGCGTGCTTTTGGCACAGAGGAG